CGCAGAAAAAGGTAAATTTCTGGACATGCTAAATCTTTCATTCGTACCATAAAGAAGGAAGAAAATAACATAAAGACGACAGCAGCAATAAGTTTAATAAGGAAGTGAAAAGGTTTGCAACTGTTCGCAACAAGGCCATGGTAAAGATGGTCTGCATTAGCTTAGGGCGCTAATGACTGCAGACAAAAAGAATATTACGCTGTATATGAACGTTATCGGCACAGAAGAAAGCGATTACATTCATGAAACGGAGGAGGATGCAGATAGCGTCCCTTAACGACGGGTCTTCACACGGTCCCAAGCGCATTTTATGCTAGCAAGGGCTAACGCTTTGGACTTCAAAATGTTTCTCTGCATGGAGAGACCGTTGGAACAATACATTTCAAGCGATCAGTGAGGAAGAGGAAAATAAGCCTGAACTAGTTTTTAATCATAATAATTGTAAAAATAAATAAAGGTTACTACTTCATGGATTTCGCGTATCACGGGTTCTTTAGCGAAAGTAACCCCCTAAATTTGATCCCCTTTGGTTTTCAAACAATCGTATCTCCGGTTTCTGTCTCACATCACAACTTTTCCCTAAAATGGATCCAGAATGTTCGTGTTTTTTTCTTGGTTTGTTGATAAAATTTTAAACAATAAATGTTTAGAACACGTTTACCGTATGGCTGGCAGTAAAGGGGTTAGAAAGTTAAACCAGTTATAATTTAATCCAGTCTTAGTGACAAAAAAAGAGACGAAAATGATTTATTTTCTAATACAGAAGAGATATTTAGAAATATTTAGAACATTATTTGATTTAACACTAGAAGTCCCAAAGCAGCCATTTTGACGGTTGAGATTTTCAAGTGAACTAACTTTATTTACATTAATCATGTGTTGGTTATTTTTTCCTGTTTCTATATTTCCTTCATTTCACATCTTTTTTTTTTATTAAAACCTAAAAAATAAACATGTTTAATTTTACTTCAATCTCTCACAGATGTAATTTTGACAGCATTAGTTGCATGCTAATTCTTCCTGCAGTTGAATGAAGTTCGCTACCGTTGCCTAGCAACTAAAAGCCTAGCGATAAATCTCTGGAACTCTTTGGTTAATACGGAAAAATAGTATCATATAAGGCAGCCGTTAAATAATATATGTTAGACCTTTGTTAAGGTCTTCATATCAACAATGGATTTAAACGCACATTAGAACCATTTCAGTGATGACATCATCACTACTCATGGAGATTGGGAGAAATGCCGCCCATCAAATTGACGGCCAGTGGGAGTTCTAAAAATTGGAACAAAAATTATTTTTGTACGATTTAGGTCAAATAAAGCGTGTTCTATGACCTTTGAGAAGCCGGTCTGACTGCGTTTTAAGGCTGGGCAAAGTNAGGAAACATGATGTGGAAGCTGAGCTTCTGGACCAGAACCGAGCCTGAGATCCGGTTCTGATGACTGATTAACGTTAACAGAAGGTTTTTTTTTGGAGTCGTTTTATTTCTGTTTTGGCCGAGTCGTTAACGAGAACGCTCGAGGTTCCCTTCCTCCTATAGTAAAGGATCTTCATGGTTGCTAGGCAACAGAGGTCAAAGCCATCAGTCCTGACCTGTCCTCATCAGTCCCTTCTCCGCCTCGCTGTCCCTCAGCTGGCTCCGCGTGTCCTGCAGCGCTTTCCGTAGTTCTGCCAGGTCGTCCTGGAGCTCCTGGAGTCTGGACTGAGCGAGGAGGAGCTCCTTCTGGAGTTCTGCTTCTGTGGAGGAGAGCAGGAGGCCGGGTCCCATCAGACGGGAGGAAACCGTCCAGGTGGCTAAAAATGCTTTGATTCTTCTCTGACACAATAAAAAGCCCAAAGGGGGGATTTGATTGGACCTCCCAGGAATAGGACTCTGCATTTGTCCCTCCAGCCCTTTAGGTGGCGCTAGCATGGGTCGGAATGGGAAGAAAAAGCTTCAGCTTTTTATATATTTTTTATATATAAAGCTGCTTTTTATAGCTATAAAACAGTCGCCAAATTTAAGTTAAATTTAGGTTTAAAATATTTTTTAAAAATTTAAATAAAGAATTTTAAAAAATTTAAACTTAAATAAAATAAAAAAGTTTAAATAAAAAAAAAATAAATGTACATAAAACAGTTCGTTAAATTTAAGTTTGCCAATTTTACTTCAAAACAACAAAGTCGACGTTTGCTCCGATAAAGGCACTCACAGACAGTTAGCAAAGATGCTAACTATCGCAGAAAAAGGTAAATTTCTGGACATGCTAAATCTTTCATTCGTACCATAAAGAAGGAAGAAAATAACATAAAGACGACAGCAGCAATAAGTTTAATAAGGAAGTGAAAAGGTTTGCAACTGTTCGCAACAAGGCCATGGTAAAGATGGTCTGCATTAGCTTAGGGCGCTAATGACTGCAGACAAAAAGAATATTACGCTGTATATGAACGTTATCGGCACAGAAGAAAGCGATTACATTCATGAAACGGAGGAGGATGCAGATGGCGTCCCTTAACGACGGCTCTTCACACGGTACCAAGCGCATTTTATGCTAGCAAGGGCTAACGCTTTGGACTTCAAAATGT